ACGGCGGGGCGTTTGCGGGCGAAGCATTGTCGAGTGGAGTGGTGGGGGGGGGGTCCCAAGAACGGAGCCCCCGATGGGGCGGCGGTGGCGGGCCAGGGCGACGGCGGAGCGTTATCGGGCGAGGAACTATCGAGTGGGAGGCCCCAAGAACTGAGCTCCCGATGTGGCAGGGATTTTGAGCCAGGTCGACGGCGGGGCGTTGTCGGGCGAGGAATTGTCGAGTGGGGGGCCCCAAGAACGGCGCTCCCGATGGGGGAGGGGGGGGGGGATTGTGGGCGAGTTCGACGGCGGGGCGATTTCGGGCGAGGAATTGTCGAGTGGGAGGTCGCAAGAACAGAGCTCCCGATGGGGCGGGACTGCGGGCGAGGTCGACGGCGGGGCGATTTCGGGAGAGGAATTGTCGAGAAAGGAGGGGGGGGGGGCAGTACAAAGCTCCCGATGGGGTGGGGATTGTGGGCGAAGTCGACGGCGGTGCGATTTCGGGCACAAAATCGTCGAGTGGGGGGCCCCAAGAACAAATCTCCCGTCGGGGCGGGGGTTGTGGGCGAGGTCGACGGCGGGGCGTTTCGGGCGAGGAGTTGTCGAGCGGGGGGGCCCGTGGACAGAGTTCCCCACGGGGCGGGGGTGGTGGGCGAGGTCGACGGCGGCGCGATCTCGGGCGTGGAATTGTCGAGTGGGGGGGGCCCAAGAACAGAGCCCCCGATGGGGTGGGGGTTGTGGGCGACGTCCGCGGCGGGGCGATTTCGGGCAAGGAATTGTCGATCGTGGGGTCCCAAGGGCAGAGATTTACTTGTGCCCAGTGGAATTTTAAATTCTTGGCGGATGTGTGGGGGCGCTGTCGGGGTGGCGCCCTCGTAGGGCTGCGTTTCTCGAGCAAATGGGCGGGGGCCCCCGAGGCCATAAAATAAAACAATATGCAAATGCCAAGGGGAGCGGCGAGGAGGGAGCGGAGGGCGAGAGGAGGAAGGCGACTGGCCCTGGTAAGCCTAGTTACTGTGAGAGCAGCAAGTACGTTAGCCCAAGCAGCAGTGGGCGAAACCACTTGTTGAGCCCCCACTTTTGTGTGCAATGCGAAGTCACATCATGGTCTGTTACTGCGCCCCACCCCACCACCACCCCAAAGGGTTCATGTTTGTGCGCCCCCTCGCATGACATGAAGGGGGTGAATGAACATAGTCAGCAGCAGGATGCATGTATTTTTGACGCACGAAGAAGATACCCCAACAAAAAGAAGTGAGGGGTTGAAAACACATGTCAGGGGGAACAGCATGTAGTAAGGATGGCTGTTTCGCCCAAGGATGTTGATGGCTGATCCGGCCTACACCATCCCATTGCGCCCGTTCCTCTCTACATGCTGCTGCTGCTCCTCCCCATCGTCTTCATTGTCGCACGCCCCGCCTGACTTCCCACTTCCGCCTCACATCCCGCCCCTCCGTGCATTCCAGCTCACTTCCACAGCCGTTTGTGGCCAAGCATGGCGCGCCGTTTGTCGTCGCCCTCTGCCACCAGAGCCCATCCTGTCCTAGGGCTCGATATCGGCGATTGCTTGTCGAGTCGCAATGTGGCTGGAGCAGAAGGTCCCCGTGGTTCAAAACCGACTCAGCCTCTCCGAAAATCAACCCCGAACCCCGATATTTGGATTTAGGTAGTTGGTGTGCGTGTGTAAGGGGGGGCGATTGGAGAGGCGCGTTGGTTTTTGACCCTGTCAGGCGACAGGATATATTTGGCCATGGACCGTGGCGCGTGGGCACTGGCAGCTTTGTGGACTAACCAATACGGAGGCGAGAATTTGTATGTGATTTCGAAGACAACGCATGGGACGCGGTGGTCATACCATCAGGAATTTGGTCATGTTGAAGCCTGGGTAGTACGCTTCGTTCGAGGTGGCGGTCTTCTGGACATGGGCATGCCAATTAAGAATTTGCATTTGTGTTCCCGAAAAAGTGGTGAGCGGGGCAAAGGGCCTTTAGCCCTCTGGTGTGGAGTCACACATTTCGTCGACAACGACATGGAATGCATCATGAGCGTCTTAGACGACAAAGAGGGCAACAGCTTCGACGCCATGATGAAGGCGGACGGCTTCGCGGTGCAGTACATTGGTTTACGCCCAGTCGGCAACCGCGGAGATGTGCCAGAACGATTTCGTGATAGAGTGTGCCGTCTTGGAAAGATATTGCCCACGCGTTGAAGTTGCCATACGTCGAGGAGATGTGGGAGCTTCTATGTGAAACTGGTCCTCCGGCTTGCCCTCCACCGTCAAAGCATCTTCACCTGATGATCAAGGAGTTCGTGGAGCCAGATTCCCCGAGGCCTGCCATCGGCGCGCGGGCATCATCATCGTCAGACCACCAGAGGCAGCTCGACACGCTGGCAGCCACAGTCAATCATCTGCAGCAAGTGGTGACAGATGTGGCTGCGACAGCCGCGACGCAGGCACACGCGGCAGTGGCAGCAACAGCCGGCGGGGCGAGGTGGGCTGGATGGCAAAGCTCAGAGTCCCGAGGATACAATTGGAACCACACAAAATATCTTAGGGCAGTTCAGCATGCGGCTGGCAATTGGCCGCCGCCAGGCGCCCAGCGCGTTGTAGAGCAGAGCGCAATGCGTCGGAATTGCGGCGAGAATCAGCCAGGTGCATTCTGTGTTCTTTTCATGTGCAGGCCATGCTGCGATTATCAGCGTGGAGACAGGCATTGCCCGCAGCATGACAATTAGAGCTGAAACACAACAGACTTGTTGACGCTTCACGTCTCCCCGCCAGCCCATCCAGATACCCCAAGATGGCCTCCAGATGGCTTAATATAGGTCAAGATGGCTCGAGATGGTTCCCACGATGCTCCAGGAGGCCCCAAGAACGTTCCAAGGCGGCTCCAAGCGGCCAAAGGACTCTCTTAGGAGGCCCCGAAGACGAGATGTTCCAGCAGGGCCTCAAAGGAAGAGTATGAGGGTCGCCAGGGCCACCAAGAGGATAACGAGGACGAGGAGGAGAAGACATAGGAAGAGGAGGAGGAGGATCGAGACATGCGGATGCAAGTAAGTCGTGCGTTTCCCAGTCTTTAGCATTATCATCGCATTCTACGGCCCCGCTGCCATTTGCAACGTTCAGGACTTTAGCGGCTGCAGCGGCCTCTCAGATTGAAGAGCTCTCTTTCTCCTGCAACTGGCTGCGTCGGCCATGGCTGCCAAGCGGGCCGCAGGCGGTGACGACGCCGCGAGGCCCAGGAAGGCGGCCAAGGCCAAGGGCTCCAGCAAGGGCTCTGGCCATGGGGGCACTGGGTCGACCACCGTCGGCACGACAATATCCAACCATGCGTCCGCGAGCCTTCTCCAGAAAGTTCAGGATTCGTTGAGCGCGATCAAGGCCCACCCTACGTTCCTGGGCATCGACAAGCTGAACCCTTTGAAGATCGAGGAGGGCGGATCGCAGACTCCTTTCAAGCAGGCCGATTGCGAAATGGTCTTGAAGGCGGAGGGCGACGGCATCACGTCCTACAGATGCGGCGGCAACTTCTTCTGGCAGAATATGTGCTGGTTTCCAAATCCGAAGACGCCAGTAAATCATGGACAAGTGAAAGAAAAGCAGAAGAGTCTGGTCCCGGATGAGCCTCCGTGCCGCCTGGACTTCGCGACTGTATCGCGCTGGACTCGCGCGACATGCCTGTCATGAGTCATCGTGGCGCACTTCAGCGCTTGTCTCCGCGCGAGCCAGCTTTGGCCCTTCTGTTCAGCATCCACGAGGCCATCGCCAAGAAGGTCGATGATACACCTTGCTCAAGTGGCGCAAGCTCGTCCTCTCAGCACCCTTCGAGTTCGAAGTTGTCAAGGAAGGCAACGACGACAGGTTCTGGAGGGCGCGCAACGTGAGGCAGAACTGCATCCAGAATGGGTTGGTCGTTCGGCTTTCGACCCGACAATGGATATTCGACGCGATCGGTTTCAAGGAGGGCAAGGAGAAGGAGATGTCCAAGAGCCTCAGCGCCATCCAGGTGGCAAAGCTCTACCAAGATCGCATGGACTATGCCAAGAACACCGAGAAGGTTACGGACACCTTCGTCGATGCAGCGATGACGATACATAAGCGTGTTCTGAGTCTTCCCATCGCCGCCGAGTGGTTGGAGTGGGCCGACGAGACCCCCACCGATCAGTCTCCTTGGGGAAGTACCTACATTCTGCAGGCAGTTGTGGACAGAGCGCAAACCTCAGAACGCATCAGTTGGGCAGTGTGTGGCATGACGGATCATTTCCGCATGGTGCGAATGGTTTCGAAGCGCTTCTGTCCTCCGACACCCCGTGCCCCGGCCCCCGGCCCCTGCCCGATAGGACAACCAAGTGAAGCAAATGAGAACTCTTGACGCTTCGAGTATCCCCACCAGCCCATCCAGAAACGATCAGCTCGGGACTTGGTGAATCAGGGGCGGCAGAACGCAGGCAGTCGCACAGCCGTCTTCGAGGACACAAGCATCACACATAGCTTCCCGCATTGAAGTTTAAGATGGAAATCGATGCAAAGTACGATGGTGCTTCGATGAGAGGTGAGAGGTATTTCGATGATTCGTAATGGCTGTTGCACTGATGTGTATCTTAACCTCACGTGCGTTCCGAAACTTGGAGGCATCTTGGGGCCCTCTTGGGATTCTATTGGGCCCCTCTTGGGGCCTCCTGGGGCTCTTTCTTGGGGCTCTCCTGAGGTCCTCCTAGGGCCTTCTCGGGGCGTCTTGGGGCTCTTTGGGGACTTCTCGGGGCCCTCTTTCTGAATACCAGGGCACCCTAGGGCCCTTCTCGTCACCGTCGTTCGTGACGTCAGTCTCTGAAGAGAAAGAAAAATGCGATGCGAACCCTTTTCGCTGTGTCAAGCGGCGGCGCGCCAACCCGCGCCGTCCTGAGGCGGCACTCCGTCTGACTTATAATACCCACCCGCCCACTGCCGAGCCAAATAGGCTGCAGGGGCGGGAGATTCGAGCAGACCCCTCACGATGTACCCATCATGAACATCCTCGAAATCAGACAGGGGGAAAGGAGATCTGCTCGAGCTTGTCGTGCGTGGCACCGGCCGTGGCCACGTCGCTCGCAGGGGGCTGGACCCGCCTCCTGCCTTCCAGGATCTTCTTGGCCTCGCTGTGGTCGGTCTCGGTCGTCTCGTCGAAGATCCCTTTACCAAGGGCTGACCGTTTGCGAGCCGACAAGAACCTTTCGTCGTGAACGATCTTCCAGCGCTGGCTCTTCAGGAAAGAGTGGAGCACGTTGAAGGCCTGCTGGCTGGCTTTGGTCATGCCATCGGCCAGCTGTGCATGGCTGTGCACCCAGCGCACGATCGCCTCGCCCTCCTCGAGGGCCCGGCGCAAGGCGAGCGCCTCTATGGCCGTCCTCCTTTCATCGAGGCCCAAGCCGGCCGACTCAGACTTCACAACGCCGTCGTAGAACGCCTTGCAGTCCGTCACGAGAGCTCCTGGGATGTGATGCAGAGCAGCAGCACGGTTACGTAGATCGATTGAGCCAAAGAGCACCTCATAGAGCACCAAGCGCACCATAATATGCTTGCCCTCCGCGTCGCTGGCCTCCTGGATCTCTGCGGACAGGCTGGACCTGGCAACCCGCTTGAGCTTGCGAGATCCCCAGTCCAAGACGGTAAAGTCGCATGCCTCCTGAAAAGGTCCTTCCGCCGAACTGAGAGCTGTGACGTGACCTCCTTGGGAATGTCCATCGGGTCGGCTGGCCCAAGCAGCGTCGCACCAGGTGTAGATACGAAAATCGGGGCCACCTCGTCCGCATTCTGGCAGTTGGTGGCGAAAGATCTGGATGCCGTCAGTCCGATTGGTTTTGACCATCTTGGTAATGTTGTTCGCCATCGAAAAGAGCTTGCAGTCACCATTGGGTATCTTGCTTTGAACATCGGCAACCCATGCTGAAACCCAGGGAAGTGCATTGACACCAAGCCAAGGAAGAGCTCCACACCAGGTTCTCAGAGTACTCTGGTCCGCCTCGGTCAGTCGGTCGCCGCTCTTGGCCTTCGGGTACTTCGGGAAGATCTCCTTCAGCTTGTCAATGTAGCCCTGCTGGTGCTGGAAGAAACCCTTCTCATTCCTCGCGATCGCAACGCCGCGCTGCTCGATGGAGTCGATCCCGTCGTCCATGTCTACCCAGGTGCCCCACGTGTAGAGGCCCTTGATGCTCTTCAGCGCCTTCCGCCATGCAGGATGGTCTCGGTCACCGCAGAGAATGAAGTCATCCACGTGGCACATGATGAGCCCCAGCAGCGCCTTGGTCTCAGGACAGCGTAAACTCCACAGACAAGGTTCGAGATCGCACGCTTGCAGTCCCAGCTTGGCGAAATCCTGCTTCACCGTCTGCCACCATTTGCGAGGGGCCTCGCCGATGCCGTAGCCTGGCTTCACCACGCGTAGCACTTGGCCAGGTTGCACACCAAACTCAGCAGATAGCGCCTTGTCGGCTTCCACGAAGAGATCCTTCTTCAGGTCGTTCGCCTGCAGGAACGCGCTGGTCACGTCGCCCTTGACGATGGTCCAGGAGTTGGCGGCCGCGACCGTGAGGAGTAGATTCCGAGCGCGGCGCGAGGCCGTTCGTGAGGCAGCCGGCTTCTGTCCGATGTCCTTGGTCTGGTAGCCGAGGAGGACGAGGCGCGCCTTCGCGGCCCCATCGCTCTTGCGCGTCAGTACCCAGCGGCACCTGATCACTTCCGCAGGGTCCTTTACCTCGGAAGCGGGGACACGACGGAGACCTTTACTGCTTCCAGTTGGCGACCTCCTTCGCCATGGCCTTTCGGAACTCGGCCTTCTCGGAGGGGGAAAGCTTTCCCCAGTGAAACTCGATCTTATCCTTCCGCTTCTGGTTGGCAACGAAGCAGTCCAGGGTCTGAGAAGTGAGACGACGTCCGCCCTGGCTGTTCGCAAGTTCGGACTTGACCATCTCGAAGTAGGCTGTCATGTTCTCGTCGATCAGCTCGAAGTCGGTGCCGTCCCGGTTCCCGTCGAAGGTGATCCGGGAGAAGAGCTCCTCGTCGTTGTTTTCGACTGTAGGCTTGCCCTCAGAGTAGGGCCCAGGTCGGTCTTGTCGTCGTTCAGCAGGTGACTGTCGGTAGGTGGTCTCGTCGCCCTTGGAGGTCATGCGCCAGCGTTGATGCGGTAGTTCTACAGGTGGGGCCGAGCTCGCTCTGGACGGTGAACTGAACCGAGACTGCTTCGAGACAGGCTGCTCGATGGAAGAGATACTTGAAGGGGAAGGCGGGGGCGATTCAGGCGGCGTCGGCTCGCCGGCTGGTTCCGCACGTCCGTCCAAGGGATCAGGTTCAGCAGCTTCTCCGTCCATCCGATCGTCTTGGTCCTCAGGTGGTTCGGACGGCTGGATCGCCTGCGGTTCGAAATTCTGGATGTGTGGTCGACTCTCGTTAGTGAGGTCCTCGAACGTTCCGCGGCGGGCGACCTCCATCAAGTCGGACATAGTAGCCCCGCGTCTCTGCATTTTGTTGAGTTCCACAACCATGCGCTCGGCCTCCGTAGCTGGACGCAGTTGCTCAGGAGCGCACCGAAGGAGAACATCGCCGTGCGAGATCCACACGACTGAAGTTGGGCGGGTAGAGCCCGCAAGTACACGTTGTTCTTGAATTAAGACGCGCGCTGGACCATACCAGGTTGCCTTGACAGGCCCACGGCCCTTCCGCCAGTAGTAGCAGTGTTCGCCGGTGTTCCAGCGAGTAGTCACGCGGCTGCGGGCATGTTCTGCATGTCGGCGTCGCTCTGAGCACTCCACCTCGATGAAGCTCTGACGTGCCAGAAGTCGCCTCTGCTCCCGGGACTCTCCGTTGCAGTCTTCCACGATGGCAAAGGGGTTGCCTGAGCCCCCATGGCCTCCAGTACCAAAGGCGTGTACGAAGGGTGAATGGTTCCCGACCTTGTCAAGATCGTTGATCGCATGCGTGACCTGGCTGATGGCCTCGTCGATGTCGCAGTCGTGATTCTGTTTCCTGAACTTTGTGAGAGTCCGCTTGAACAGCTGAATCCGGCGCTCAACCTTGCCCATTAGCCAGTGCGCTTCACCAGGAGCGATGAACATCTCGATCCCGCGCGCACTGCACCAGCTTTTGGTAAGTTCAGCTCGATGACATCCCTCAGCGTCGCAGCGAATGAGGCGAGGAGTGCGGTAGTCATTTGTCCACGATCTCCAGGTCTCGAGGAGGTCCGCTGCTGATCGGTTGCCGGACCTCTGGGACTTGTCGCCGTGGTTGAAGATCTGCGTGAGTCCCGACCCCTCGTCAAGGTTCAGCGTGAACAAGTAGGTCGCGTCGTCAACAGGGTCGGTCCACTCGAGACCGTCACTCCCCATCACCTCGAAGACCTCGGGAATGTCGATGCCAGCAGCCGTTCTGACGGCCTTCGGCAGCACCGAGGAGTCGCAGGCGTGGCACTTAAACTCCTTGACCATCTTCAGAACCTGGATGCTCGCGCCCGAGTTCTTGAGAATCTTGAACATGGTTCGGACGCTGGGGTGACCCAGATTGCGATGAAGTCGGCTGAGGCGGTGCTCTATCTCCTGGGCCTCCTTGGTGCTCAGCGCGCCGCCGTCCTTGGAGAGCTCCCTGAGGTCATCCTCGTCGAGCTCCTCGTCTGACGCCTGCGGTTCCTCCATCTCCTGATCGCCGTCTTCGTCGATGCCCTCGAATATGCCATCGTCAGTGTCCTGGTCCGTCGCCAAGAGAGCTGAGGTTCCAGCTGTAGTACCACCTCCGGCACGCAGAATGTGCTTCGCCCAGGCCTTGCACAACGCCTCGGGGTAGAACGCGGTGGCCGCTACCACCTTCCCCCCGAGGATCTCACCATGCTCGTGGTTGTCATACCGACCAGGGTCATTACTGCAGCGCTTGCCGATGGCCTTCTGCAGCTCGGGGTCGGTAGAGCAGATCCTCCAGACCGTGGGTAAGAGGAGACCGCGGCGGGGGCAGCGAAGGCCGTAAGCACAGCCAGATACCAGCGTCTCGTAGGTTTGCTCCCTGATGCGCTTCAGTGCCTCCGAACGTCCCCAGCTATGAGATCTCTGCGGCTGCTCCAGGTCGATCTCAGTCCCACGGAATTGGAGCCCGACTGACATGATAGTCTCGCGCCCAGCTTGTATCCGACGAGCCTGTTGCACCTTTTTACGTAGACGTTCGCAGTCCTCGGGGGTCTTCTTATTCCAGTTCTGGAGTTGGCAGTCCGCGGTGCACGGGGAACTCATGACGATGCGTCGAGGCCGATGTTGCCGAATCCACAGAATAAGCCGTCGCACTCCAGTCTTCGTCACCCTGTCGAACCCGTTCTGTACCCCAGCTCGGCAGGCAGCTCCCCCGAGGTCGATCACCGCCTGGGAGAGACGAGACTTCGGAGGCGTGCAGACCTCGAGCAGGTCGTAGCGGCCGTTGCGGGACAGAAAATTACGTCGTCGCCGATCTCCTTCGTGTAGTCCCGATCGTACTGATGGATAGCCTTCTGCATGATGTCCAGGTCCTCGCTGGTCAGGGACACTCGCGCCCTCTCATGCTGGCCATCTCCTTCTCGGGTGAGTCGTCCAGCATCTCGAAGGATTCCGAGGACGGGTCGTTCGCCAGTCTCTTTAGGATCTTGGACAGCATCCGCCTCCACCTCAGGTAGATCACCTCGGACCTGCGCCGCCAACTGACCTCTGGGCTCGCCGGCCTTGAAATCAAGGGCTCGGGGGGGCCTGCTGGTGGCGGATCGTTCTTCCGACGAGGTGGACGGTAGTTCTGCACGAAGTTCAGCGACGGGTGCCCGGCCTCCCACAGCCGACACGGGTGGGTCTGGCCTCCCGTGCACGAACACCCGTTCCGCTTGCGACCTGGTTGTCTGCAGCAGCCGCACCTCTGACATCCCGGCGCATTGGACTTGGCCGCCTGGACGATGGTGGAGGTCGGATTCGATCCCGCAACCTTCATGGTCACATCCTCTGGGGGTACAGAAGCGAACTCGTCTAGTATGACCCTGGCCTCGGACTGGGTCTGAGCTGACGTCGACATGCTCACCTCGGCTGTTGTCGGCAGCCTTGACGTGAAAGGAGTAGTTCCGCGATCTCGCGGATGCTCCGTAGTAGGGGATGGCGGAGGTGGCATACCCGAAAGCGACGAGATGGTGCCACGGCGGCATGACATCCGCTGGATATGGAAACGTAGATGAGTATTGAAGATCTCCTCCTGATTGAACGCCCTCTCGAGCCGAAAAAGCTCGGTGCGCATCCAAATCATCAGGGTCGGGAGGAGGCTCAGATTGCCGTGTCGGGAGTTTCGTACTCGTACTAGTCTGCGTTCTTGGAGATGTCTCGGTTTCTTTGATCGTTGCCCTCGAACTCTTGGTCCCCGAAGATGGCCCCCAAGATGCCCTCGTAGGAGATGCTGTAGGAGATCTCGAGAGGCTTGGGGGTGTAGGAGCAGTATAAGAGGGTGCAGCGAGGACGTCCTGACCCCTGTCCGCGTCTTCGAGCTTCGGGAAGTCTGACGATCTCTTGAGGGTGTGAGGCTTTTCGGGGGTCTTCTTGGGCCCCCCCGGTGGACTAGAGGAAAGAACTTTTCTCGGATCCACCAGAGGGTGCTGTCCCTAGCTCGAGGCCCCCGCGCCAGCCGTGGGCGCCAGCTCCAGCACCGCCTCGTCCACGACCGCGGACGTCTCAGCCTCGTCCTTCATGGCGTTGCACTGTGTGATCCCGACGATGTTCGGGAGGCTGTGTGGGATGTTCTGCCACCACGTCGGAGTCGTCACGTTGATGGCGAGGTGACCACTGGGCATCTTCCGGCACTGGAAGACGTGATGTGAGATCTTCGGCAGCATCAGGCATCCGTTACCGCAGTCGATGAGGGCATTGGTATGATCAGGTCCCAGCACGTCCATGCCGATCAGCAGGGGCACCTCGTTGTCCACGATCGAGATCTCGATCTTCTCCTGGTCGTCACCGAGAAAGATGGCACCTGTCATGGTGCCCATCGAGCTCTTGCGCCTGACGTCGCCGAAAGTGAAGTGCCGCGTCCGTTCCACCACGTCGAACAGCATGTTGTGCTTCTCCTCCATGTCGTAGATGAGGTGCTCGGCCATCGTCACACCAATGAGGCTCCTCGTGGCGCCGCAGTCAAGGATCGCCCAGATGCCGCCCGCGTCGTCCAAGAGGAGCACCAGGTCGCCGAGCTCTAGAAGCGCAAACGAGGTCGTCTCGCTAACCCCATGCTCACGATAATAAACACTAGGGGATAATAAAGTTCGGGGTTCAGGGGGAGATAATCAAAGTAGCCCACCAGACCTCAGCATAATCTCGAAGTAAGAGATGATCAAGAGGAGACCAAACCGAGCACGTTTTGAGACATCCTTGGCGTTTAGTCTTCATTAAAATATCCTCAACAATGGCTTATCTCGCTGGAGACATCCTCGACAAATCCCTTGTTTCGCTTGAGACATCCACAAACTATTGCTTATTTCGCTTGAGACACCGTCCAACTATTGCTTATTTCGCTTGATACATCCTCGAAATAATTGTGTTTTCGCTTGAAACATCATCAAACTATTGCTGATTTCGCCTGAACATCCTGAATCTATTGCGTATTTCGCTTGAGACATCCTGAAACTATTGCTTATTTCGCTTGAGACACCGTCAAACTATTGTTTATTTCGCTTGAGACATCCTCGAAACAATTGTGTTTTTTTATATATATTCTCGAAGGTCTCATTGTCTGGTTCTGCTATCTGAGCAGCCATCTGCTTGAGCAGCTCTGCTTCAGCAGCTCACCTTGAGCAGAGAGAGATAGTGAGAGAAAGAGGAGAGAGGGAGGGAGAGAGAGAGAGAGAGAGAGAGAGAGAGAGAGAGAGAGAGAGGTGACTCTCTCTCTCTCTCTCCCGCCGCGCGCTCCTCTGAGGTTTATTATCGTCGGCAGTTTTCTATCATCGGCTGAGGTTTATTATCGTCGGCAGTTTTTTATCATCGGCAGTGGTCAATCGCAACTCTTGAGCTCTCCCGGAAGACGGCGGCACGCAAATGATACGCATTTTTTGAAAAACTGCATTTTGAAAAAAAAACTTTTTCAATTGCGAATTCCATTGTAATCCTTTCAAAATTGCGAAATCGAGCCGTCAGGCGCTTGAATGCCACATTGCGTTCGAGATTTAAGCGCGCGGCGCATTTATGAGAAATGTGCGTCGCGCGCGCTTTTGCCCGAATATCGAGCGCAGTGTGGCATTCAGGCGCGTGCGGATTCGAATTCGCAATTTCGAAAGGATTTCAATTGAATTCGCAACCAAATATAGTATTTCTTGTCAAAATAAGGTTTTTCAAACAAAAAAATGCGTGTCATGAGAAAATTGCGTCGCACACGCTTTCGCCTAAATCTCGAACGCAGTGCGGCATTCAAGCGCCTGACGGCTCGATTTCGCAAATTCGAAAAGATTTCAGTGGAATTCGCAATTAAATAAAATATAGTTTGTTGCTCGTTTTTTTTTTTTTTTTTTTTTTTTCAAAAACATGCGTATCATTTGCGTGCCGCCGTGTTCCCGGAGAGCTCAGGAGTTGCTATCGACCGCTGCCGATGATAAAAAACTGCCGACGATAATAAACCTCAAGAGGTTGTGCTGTGCTGCAGGGTTGTGCTGGAGGGTTGTGCTGGAGGGTTGTGCTGGAGGGTTGTGCTGGAGGGTTGTGCTGGAGGGTTGTGCTGGAGGGTTGTGCTGGAGGGTTGTGCTGGGGGGGTTGTGCTGAGAGAGAGAGAGAGAGAGAGAAGAGAGAGAGAGAGAAGAAAAAACAAGAGTATAAAAATAATATATTTTTTAAAAAAAAAATAAGAAAGATATAACACATTTCGCAGTTTTTAAATAAAAAAACATAATAAAGAAGAAGAATAATAAGAAGAATAAGAATAAGAGATATATATATAGAACGACAGATAGAGGAGGAGGAGGAAAAGCAAACTTTCAAGTTTCAAATCCATCAGATTTTATTTAGAAGCGCTTATGAAATTGAGAAAGAGAGAGAGAGAGAGAGAGATAAGAGAGGAGATACTGAAAAGCAAGAGAGGAAGGAGAGGAGGAGAGGAAAGGAGAAGACAGGAGAGGAGCAAGAGGAGAGAGAGATAGAGAAACAGAGAGAGAAAAAAGACAGAGAGGAAAAAACAAACAAAAAACTATCATATTTTCCATGGATAATCAACCCCAGGGATAAACAAGTTCAGGGGGGCATGGGGGGGAGAGAGACAGAGAGATAGAAAGAGAGAGAGAGAAGAAATAATGAAAATGAAGAGGAGAAGAAACAATTCAAGAGGAGAAGTAGAAGAGGAGAGGAAGAGGAAAAGCAAACATTTCAAGTTCCAAATCTATTATATTTTATTTACAAGCGCTTTTTTGAAAACATTGGTTTTAAGTGCTCGTGTAGGAGCTCATGTGCCTCACTTTCCGTGGATAATCAACCCCAGGGATAAACAAGTTCAGGGGCGCATGGGGAGAGAGAAAGATATAAAGAGAGAAATAAAGAAAACAAAGAGAGAGTTGAGGGAAATACATAAAGAAATATTAAAAAGGAAAAGGACAAGAAAAAATGAGGAGGAGAAGTAGAAGAGGAGAGGAAAGGATGATAAAACAAAAAATCTGAAGATTCAAATGTATTAAATTTTATTTACAAACGCTTTATGAAAATTAAATTTTAAGTGCTCGTGTAGGGTAGCTCATGTGCCTCACTTTCCGTGGATAATCAACCCCAGGGATAAACAAGTTCAGGGGGGCATGGGGAGAGAGAGGAAAAAAGAAAGAAATAAAGAAATATATAAAGAAATGAAAATATAAATTAAGAAAAAAGAAGGAGAAGAGAAGAGGAAGAAAAAGAGCAAAAAATTTCAAGTTCCAAATCTATTAGATTTAATTTACAAACGCTTTCTGAAAATTGATTTTTTGAGTGCTCGTGTAGGGTAGTCATGTGCCTCACTTGCCATGGATAATCAACACCAGGGATAAACAAGTTCAGGGGGGCATGGGGAGAGAGAGGAAAAAAGAAAGAAATAAAGAAATATATAAAGACATAAAATATAATTAAGAAAAAAGAAGGAGAAGAGAAGAGGAAGAAAAAGAGCAATCCTCGAGTATATGCTTGTTTCGCTTGAGACATCCTCGACAAGCTTCTCGAATCGCTTGAGACATCCTCGCAGAATTGCTGGCTCGCTTGAGACATCCTTGAAACATTGCTCGTTTCGTTTGAGCCTGCCTCCCAAAATTCTTGGTTTCGCTTGAGACATCCTCACAGAATTGTTGTTTTCGCTTGAGACATCCTTAAGAAACGTATCGTTTCGCTTGAGACATCCTTCAGTATATGCTTGTTTCGCTTGAGACATCCTCGAGTATATGCTTGTTTCGCTTGAGACATCCTCGACAAGCTTCTCGAATCGCTCGAGACATCCTCGAGTATATGCTTGTTTCGCTTGAGACATCCTCGACGAGCTTCTCGAATCGCTTGAGACGCCCTCACAGAATTACTGGTTTCGCTTGAGCCATCCTTGAAACATTGCTCGTTTCGTTTGAGCCTGCCTCCCAAAATTATTGGTTTCGCTTGAGACATCCTGAAAAAAAGTGTGATCTCTTCGCTCGATGTTGCTATTTCAACATAACTTGCTCTTGCTATCTCAACATAACGTTCCGAGGTGATAATGAAGTTTGGCCTCCGCGCCCCGCGCCCCCGACCAAACTCTTTTTGGTCGACGATAAAAAACTCTAACGACTTAAGGGGGGGGGGTACATTATTATCGTGGGCATGGGGTTAGGCTGTGGCTCGTCGCAGTCCTTCGTCCTCTCGGGGCAATCCTTCGCCTGGTGTCCGAACTTGCGGCAAGCTAGACATCTCATCCTACGCCTGTCACGCGCAGGTGCTTGACCGCAGTCCTGACGAGAAGATCGTTGACCATCACGTAGTTGTCGAGGACGAGGGGGTCGCTCTGCCAGTCGAGGAGCGAGCACGGGGGAGTATTCTCTCGCCACCTTGAGCTTCCTAACGAGGTCTCTCGCG